CAGTGATCCATTCCTTGTGATGGTGCTTCTTGTGACCCAGGACCTCATGACATGTTGAAGTGATTGCTTCTTTGATCCCCTTCCAGTTGCTCTCCACAGTAGTTTCTTCTCCATGGAGTAGATCATAAAAGGCCTGGAACTTGTTGCTGAGGACTATCTTGAATTTGTTGAGTTTGTTAGTATGCTGAAGAAAGGCCGTGTAGAACTTTTGTGATATTGTCCGCCCCGTTGTCCAGTGTTTCTTGAGTTTCAATTTCGTCTTGGCGACCAGCAAGTGATGATCTGATGCTATATCAGCTCCTCTCTTGGTTCTCACGTCTTCAATCGTCCTCCTGAACGTTTTGTTGATGCAAATATGGTCGATTTGGTTTTGTGTTGTGTGATCCGGTGAAGTCCATATGGTTTTGTGTATGCGTTTATGTGGGAATATGGTGCCGCCTATGACCAGCTCATTGAAGGCACATAGATTTGCAAATCTCTCACCATTTTCGTTCCTTTGTCCCACATTGTACGAACATTCCATGTACCTAAATAAATGGTCGCTCTGGTTGTCAGAAGGGGCATCGGCCTCGTAACTTCCGAAGGAATTAGGCTTTCATCATGAGGCGTCATAATTCTTCTAAATGAAGACCTTCTGACTCCCAGGGCAGAGTTAGTTTTCTACGGGATGGGGACGCTAACTTCATGCCCAACCCTCCTCCTTTATCCGGGCTTGGGACCGGCAGTAGCCCCCGGAGGGACTCCAGGCGGAGTTCAGATAAATCTCAACTCTGATTTATGTTGTAAAATTAAACACGTATGAACATATTTTGATTATAAATGTGAAAAAGGAACATATCAAGGCCAATTCCATTCTGAAATGATGTAAGAATGACTAACACAGTCAGTCAGTCAGTCAGTAACAACGTAGAACTTCGTACGTACGTACATCAGTTCGAGTTGCCACATCTTAGCACAGAGATGCAGTTGTCAATTCAAATCCCGTAGTGGTAAAGGTTGCAAGAGTATAAGCAGTAATCGGAAAGATTAGGGTTTGGAGATGTTATTTAAAGAGTATAATCCAGTGAAATAAATTTGGAAAGAGGAAAAAAGGGACATGAAGAATTCAGAAGATTAGAATTTGAGAGAACACAAAGAGTGGATGCACCAGCGCACACCAATACAAACGATTTTGAGCCACGTCATTCAGGGTCTCTAACCATCGGTTGCTATCATCTCGCGGTCCCCAACCAGGTAGTCTACACCTACCAATATGACTCAGTCCACTTGTCAGTGACTTCATGGACTTGTGCCATGTTTTGGTCTGGCCGCCCCTAGCTTTCTTCCAACCTACTCCTATACCACTGAACATCGCACGTCGAGGCAGTCGGTCGTTGGGCATACGTAACACGTGTTCCAGCCATCTCAACTGATGAAGTTTCACTACTTCATCAATTGATTTGCCATCCTTACCTAGTACCCGTTTCCTACCAACTGCATTACTTACTCGATGGTCCCATGATACACGAGCAATATTTCGAAGACACCTATGATCGAATACTAGTAACCTACGAATATCCTCTACTCTTACCGGCCATGTTTCACTGCCATAAAGTAGGACGGAACGAACTGCTGCGCAGTAAACCCGTCCTTTGGTTGATAGACGGATATCTCGCCTGCGCCATAAATGACGCAAGTTGGCAAAAGCTAGTCGATCCTTCTGTATCCGTGCTGAGATTTCGTCACACACCAGACCACAAGGGCTGATGAGACTTCCAAGATAAGTGAAGCGGTCGACACACTCAACTACTTCACTCCGTATCACTAGTTCGGGTGTCGATATAACCCAATCCTGAAGCAACATTTTGCATTTCGAGGGAGAGAATCGCATCCCGAACATGCTTGCATTGTTGCTCATGGTAGTCAGAAGACGCTGCATTTTGTCAGCGTCTTCACCAAATAAAACTATGTCATCAGCATATTCTAAGTCAACAAGTGAACCTCCCGGTAGAAGTTCAACCCCTGGAAATTTAGATGAGGAGAGTGTTATCTCTAAAAGTACGTCGACCACAAAGTTGAACAAAAATGGGGAGAGTGGACAGCCCTGACGAACACCACTTGAGGTAATCAATTTTGATGACAGTTCGCCATAAGCTCTCGCTCTACCAGTTGTGTTCGAGTAGAGAGCCTTTATAAGGTTAATGTTCTTCTTTGGTACTCCTTTCAGTGACAAACACTGCCATAGAACCTCACGATCAACAGAGTCGAATGCCGCCCTAAGGTCGAGAAATACTACGATTGTGGGGCGTTTGAATGTGTGTCTGTATTCTAGAACCTGACGTAGTGTGAATATCTGGTCTATACAACCACGTCCAGGTCGAAAACCAGCCTGATTTTCCCTAGTCTGCTCTTCACGAGCTTTAGTTAGGCGTCGAAGTATTATTGAAGCTAATATTTTAGACACTATATTAGTCAAAGTGATTCCTCTGTGATTGTCACAAGAGGACTTTTGTCCTTTCTTATAGACTGGCACAATCAGTGATTGAGACCAGTCAGATGGGATTACGTCCAGTTCCCAAATTCTACCTAAGACCTCAGTTAATCTCACTGCTAATACTGGACCACCATCCTTAAAAATCTCAGGAGTAAACCTGTCAGGACCTGCTGCTCTCCCTCGCTTCAGATTTCCTATGACTTTTTCAACTTCGTAAAGGGACGGAGGACCTACATTAACTTGTCATTCAGGTTGACTAGAGATCGTGGGAAACCGAAGTGTGGCTGAAGGCCAGTTGAACTGATCCCTAAAGTGTTCTGCCCATCAATCCAATCTCCTGGATTGAGAATGAATAATATGTCCATCTTTCTCTGAGATTGTTTCGCTAACAGTCGGGTTCCTAATACCGGTTTCCTTAACGAGTTAGTATTTGCAAGGAACAGGCGGTTATCTGAGCATAGCTGCAACAGACGGTCGCCATTATCTGTTCTTTGAGCCACTACACCATAAGATCCACCCAGGTGTCTTTCCCCATCGCTTAGTTTACCTACTTGAGCATAAAAGTCACCGACCACTATTACTACATCAGAGCGCCTAGCTTTTCGGAGAAGGTCGGAAAGCTTTCTGTAAAACTCATCTTTTACATCATCTGAGCTGTAGTCAGTGGGAGAATAGGTAGAAACGACGAAGAGGCAACGAAGAGTGTTCCTATCTTTCCGGATTCTTACTGTTCCGTTCAGTCGGACAGCGCACAAACGACTGTCTACTGGGATCCACTCTAAGAGAGCTAGTTCTGTCCTAGGACTCAATGCTATACCTACGCCGGCGAGGCCACGGGAAGCAGAATCAGGGCTTCCAGATACACGAAGCGTAAATCGAGTCGGTTCTTTATTTTGGCATGGTGAGGTTAAATGAATGACGCTACTCGGATCTTGTATGCGCGTTTCGGAGACGCAGCACACATCGATGGCGCGAGATTCTAAAGTCCTAGCTAAGGAAGCCTGCTGTTCTATTTGGCACAGTGTTCGTACGTTAAAAGCTCCTACGTGTAGTTTAGAGCGTGGTTTCAGGAGACCAGGAATAACGTTCCACGTACTCGAATCGTTTGCCCTAGCGATGCGAGGTGATAAAGAGACGTGAGGAGGGTTAGTCATGGAGATAAGAGAGGTATTAGGTGTAGGAAGGATTTGAACGTGACTAACTTGGTCTCGTGTGCTGTTACGGGTATGAGGGCTGATATCACTTCCCTGCTGCCCACACCGTGGAAGGGTATTTCTTGAGGAACCTGAAAAAAAATTGGATTAGTGTTGGTCTTAACGACCTGTGAGCGTGACCGCAGAGCCCAGGGGACAACTGTTTCTTTTCTCTGTTTAATCTGAAATCAGAAAATTAATGACCTTGGCTACAGAATTAGTTTGATTTTTTAGTCTTGTATACTTTGTTTTACGTCAGTATCATTCAACTATACTTTCTAATCGGTTCCATAAATTATGACCTTTGAATAAATTGTACATGAATTAACTATAAATGCCTATTGAAGAATTCGTTTTAGTGAGTATAAAGATGCTAATCGTTGTTGCAAACATTCCATTTAAATAACTTTATTTATTATTTGAAGGATAGGAATAAGCATCGTTATCATATACGAAATCAATCTTATAAATACATAAACTACAGTCATCACACTGACTAAGGTGTATCAGTCTCATTCCCCCCAAAATGCCTCCCATCCGATTTGCTACAATGCACTGATCCTATCTGTGTTTCGACTGTCTATAACATCAAATTAGAGTCCAGGCTTTTAATTTTCCTTGTAATTTCGCATGTTATCATCGAAACACCTTTTTAGTGCCGTCTCCTCATGACTAGTTTACTTTTAGAAAACAAAGCGGAACCACAGAGAGTTACGTTTGATGATTAGTTAAGGTAAAACTAGCTAGAAACACCCAAGCAGTCACTCCTGAACATCCAAGCCAATAAATAAATAAGTATATTTGTAATATCCCAATGAGTAGAAAAATTAGATTTTCTGACGTTTCGTAACTTAGTGCAAGCCACTTCTTCAGAGAATAAATAACCAAATTTGGACTAGTATGCTTTCCAGATTGAACCTGTTTGGGGTGCCATTAAAAACCAGGAGCACTGGACAACTGTTTGGTTCTTTAGTAGAACTCCTTAGCTTTACACACTCTTGAAGTCTCCAGAGGTCGAACCAAGTAAATTTAGATGTCTCAGTGAACTCACCAACTCAAAGCCACTGTGATATTCAATTCCAACTTCAATTAGTTCGCGATATAACCCGACGATCATCTATTTTGTTTGGTGTCGACGACTTTAAATGTTATCCGGATTAAGATCAATTTTTAACGAATAGTACCGAATAATTTAGGGAACTTTCACAATTCACTTCAAGTAAACTGTGTATATATTGATTTAAATGTTTACAGATATTTTTTCTAAAAAGTCTTTGTAACAAAAAGTATTAATATTAATTCCGTAAATGTTCATTTATTTACATGTTTTCCAGAATATATGTCCAACATATTTCCCAGCAGATTATGCTATATTTGATCGATTTGTTGAAATGTATCATGAAGCTATCGGAATGCATGTAAGTTTAAACAATAATAATATACATTATGTTTTAATCTATACACACAGGTTGAAAGTTTAGTACTTGAGGGTCTATCTGATACAGAGATTGTACAACTACTAGGTTGGATAAATTCTTATCAGTAAGTTGCTTTGATCTTTACCATCGTTACAAAATTTATTTTTAGTACTGAAGAATTCATGAAAAATCCTTTCATGAATATTGACTTTAATCGATTGAATTTAAGACATCCAATTAATTTGTTGCCTGATGAAAAATTAAATTCACTTCGAAAGCAGTAAGTTTTTAATATGATTATAAACTAGATGATCTATAACTTCATTAACAATCTTGTCCTCTTTATTGAGAACACGAACCGATTTAACTTAAAGAACCACTGAAAACTTGGAAACTCTTGACATCTGTTTCATCCTAATATCGGACTCGTCAGTAGTGCACATCCACGACCGTTCCACAGGGATCGAACCAGCATCCTCGGTCGCCCACGCGAACATTTAACCACTAAACTAACTGAGCCTCAATTCATCGGCGTATAAGTTTAACTTCAGTCAATTCGTGAGATTACGTGACCATCTTCCATTGTCTCTTCCGTGCCATATTTAAGGGATGCGTTCTACATTCCAGTGAAAACCTTTATCTAACCTTCATATAAATCTGTTCAGGTAGTTTGTCTTTCAGTACTTAAAACTCGATTTTATAGACGGTACGACTTCATTTTTTGCGTTAAGTACAACCACCGTATTGGTACTAATTCAAAAAAACACGATTTAAATTTGTCAAGAAGTTCGTATAAAATTCTTCCGTTATGTGCTACATGCACCAATTATGCGATAATCACATATTCCGTTACTACTAATTCTGTCTTGGAATTTTGTGGGAAAAATTATTTATTCAATGTCCTTGTTGAATGAATAATATCTGCCAGTGAAATCAATGATACACATTTTGTCTCCTTTAAGACTCGTCAATTGCATTTACATATGTAGGTACGTTTCACATTAGAAGAGAAAGTACCGGATTGAAATCAAGGAGTGAGCGTCAACATTACGATTCAGGTACATCAAGCTAACGAGTTCCAAATAGAACAAAACGCATGTCTTGATTTCCACTGTGAGCTACGATCCATCTATCCTATAAGAGCTTGTTGATAAAATTGTTATATCAAGCCAGTACACTCTGGATACCCACATTTCAACTAATCGAAATTCAGTCCAACTTTATAATAACCGGATACTTCAAATCTTTCCCAATGACAATGTAATCCTTGTTGAATTTTGTTTTCCTTCTCACTTTTTCAATAGATATGTTTCAAAGACGATTGAACGACTTAAATCATGGTTAGCAAATTCACTCTTAAAGGATACTTCTGTAAGTTTTTCATTGCTGATTTGTTTGTATTTTTATTCATAATTGTATGTAATTGTCGGTTGTGAATTTTCATTTTTCTTATTTGTTCTAGTTTCAGAAATTAGCTTATTACTTCGGTTTATTTTCTGTATATATTGATGAAGTTTAGTTAACACTGATCACAGTTAATGCTTCTTTTTATGCCATAGAGTTGTTTAAATACATGAAAGTAATGACATCAGTTGTTCAAAAAATATCTCAATTATGTGTTCTTTAAAACGCCTAAAAATACAAATGATTATTAACGTTTGCTGGGAAATCTTTTGTTTTCCAAGAACTGAATTTAAATCAGCCAGAAAATGGATATTCTTCAATAATCACCAGTTTTTAGTTTTTTAACCTCACAAACACTTGAATCAGACGTCATAAAACTCAGATTCTGAATGACTGGTTTTCAACGACATCACACAAAATGTAGGGATACCTACGTTTTTCCTCATTTTTCATCGTCGGTTGAACTGAGGACTAAACATTTTCCCTTTTTTTTTCAATGATTTGATGGCCAGATCAAGCAGTAATGTAACACAATACAAATTCTGTTGAAGCGATCTGCGTTGTTTTTATTCATAACATTTACTAGCGCATTATTTATATTTGGATACCTAAAGCTGCGTCATAAGTCTTTGAAATACAAATATTTATGTTGTAAATCTTCATCTCTCTGCGTCATTTGTTCGATTTAGTGTAACTTGATCGTTATTTCTGAGAGACCTTGGACTTACCAAAAATAGTTTAGTTAAAACTGTGTTGTCTATTTTTCTTAAAAAAACTATTTTCTTTGAATTGAATCTAACTTCTAAAGCATCATTGATAAGCTATTCATGTATCATGTTTAATTGATTTAGGATTGGCAACGTTCAACTGGGCCTGAATTAGATGGATCTTCTAATTATTTCACTGATTTGCCTGTATTAGTCATGACACCTATCAATGAAATGGTAAGTTGCTATTATTGTTTCTGTTAATGCTTAACAAGTATTAGGAACTATCAGTAAACGGAATTTTATGTATATCTTCCTAATATGACTATGACATAGGGTGGATTCGAATGACTTGACCTGACATACATGACATTGGTCACCACTCAGTGACCAGTAAATTGCAAATACATCTCATTCCTGCAGGAGGTCAGTCGTGGCCCGTCTATTTCAGTGGTAATGTCCTTCACCGCGAAGCTGGATAAAAAACTATCGAATCTTCCAGGGAGCATCAATCCCCTCAAGGTCAGAGATATGCCTTGCTAACGAGTGCCAAATAAAACGAAATATAGGTCACGTAAGGTCTCTTGCCAACTACCTCTAACCACTACCTTACAACTTTATCTCTCTTTATATACTGAATCCCAATATTCCTTTACACGTACGTTTACATTCTCCTCGGGCCATATTCTCAATGTTAAGTCTTTATCATCGTTCCTACTGTAATTATTTCGGCTTCTTTAATATTCATCTCTTTAATTTCGTCTCATTGGATTAATGTGGTTTATGGCAACATTTTGTCAGATTTCGTGTAGATTGTGATTGACTAACATCTTCGTAAATCTGGTATTGCCCATTCCTCCTAGACATTGATTTCCAAGAATCTTCACATGTTTTTTTAAAAGAAGACTAAACAACCAATAAATTGCTGCCAAAATGTATGATTATACTTTGAAATTAATCGACGGATTTCCCTTCATTGTTCATAATCTATAGCTGTAAAAACTTTAATCGTCTAACTTAAATTCAATGTCTTTTTGTAATGAACACATGTTAAAATACAAGATTTCCTGTTTTATCTATGGGAGATCAAAGAGCGTAGCAAAAATATGATGAATTCATTTACTTGGTGTGGTTTCTCTTCAGCGGCTTACAAACTAAAAACAATTATTTACAACTAATATACATACTTTATTTCATATTAAGGATGATCAGTAGAATAATGCCAACAGTTATAGAACGAACACTAAATTGGTAAGGGGGATGAATATTTATATATTACTAGCTGAAAAGTTTAGGATAAAAATTTCAAAACATGCGAAGATACGTTTTTAAAGAATGAAAGTTGATGTCAAAATTACTCAAAAACAGCCACAAAATTTGATAGGTTAACAGAGTAAGATTGATAAAGCTCAAAAATGACACAGGAACGAAAAAAAGGGATTTGTTATGAAGTGGAAGACTTTCAAACGTTCCAGCTTTTTTGTGGCCATGGTCACCAAACATATTCGAAGTTGTCCGGTCATGAATTTTGAACTATTTTAGAACATCATGTCCGCTGTCAAGAAAATGATGGAATGAAAAGAATATTGACCTTTTGATCCCATTTTTGTGAAATGTGCCCCCAGACGCGAACAAGAATCCCTGTTTTCCGTTCTAATGTAAATGCCGTAACACAAGTATTTAAATCAATTAATACATTTGTAAGTAACACAAGGTGGGAATTTTTCTGCATCTATCGACATAACTCAGGTCAATGATCGGTGTCCTCATTTTATTACTTGTGAATATTTCACAATTAGTTGAGATCAGTGGAAAGATTTGAGGCCATCGACTGCTGTACAGTTGCAGTAACACAGAGCATTAAATACTATTTCATTTATAGTTCAAAACAAAAGATATTGATCACTACAATATCAGCGCAATGTCTACACGAGCTAAAGCATAATATAGTGCCGCTTTTGTGATGTCCACTTGGTCTGGGCAGGAACCGATCCTATTGTGTTAGGCTTATTCGCTTGAGACTATTAACCGAACCATTGAACTATTTCCTACACTTCAACCAAAAACCAATTGAGAACACCGAGTATTCCTAAGCAAAGTGTATATTATGCAGTATTATGATAAATGTAAGAGCCATGGAAAGTTTCTATTACAAGTCACATGTTTCTGACTATCCACCCACCTGTTTAGAACATTAACTAATCACCTTTGAGTTTCACCCACACAACAGTCGCCTAATGTCTTTCACTAAAATTGTGGATAATCTTTCAGATGCCTCAAAAGCTTGAACTACAGAATAAACTATATTTTAATCCACTACATTGTTCAGTAATTTTCTTCGACAAAATTGGATTAGTTTACAATATCAATTGGTGGGTAAAGATTTTATACTCTAAAGCAATATTTATTGATATTTTTATGTTGTGCCGCATTGACGATCTTATTGGGAAGAAAAAATTCCTCCACTCAATTTGCATGTTGTTTTTCTTAAACCTATTTTTGCACAGATTGGTAAAGGTAATTTATTGCATTATCTGGGCAATGCTGTAAGAGAACAATTTTTTACTCAATGTGTTGAAGAGATGGCGCTTTTCGTGAAAGATTACGATGGTAAGGATTCTATTTCTTTGCTTAGTTACCTTATTTACTGTTGGTTGTTCGATAGCGATCTGTAGTAAATTCTTGCTTTATCAGTTTAGGGTTGTGGAGATTGTTGAGTTTAAATTGATATCATGAATGGATCAATTTTAGACTACCATTGAAAACTTGGAAGCACTAGACGGCCGTTTCGTCTTAGTATGGGGCTCCTCAGTAGTGTGCATCCGTGATCCCACCTGCGGGACTCGAGCCCAAGACCTTCGGTCTTGCGCGTGAGTGCGTAATCTCTAGACCACCGAACCGCCATCCAACGGTGTCAATGTCTAACTTCAACCAATCCACGATATTGCGCAACCATATATTGGTAGATTTTTCTTAAGCTTTAACCAGATACGATCTATCCATCACTGCGTTTTGAATTTCGCTCAAAGATCCAACTGCCTCTGTCTTGAATCTGATTGGTCCGTCGGCTAAGTATATTTTTATTGTACAATGAAATAAATGATATTTATTTTGTTTTAGTTCCTGTGATATAACAATGATAACTTTCATGATGAAATCACTATAACTCAGCTCATACATGTTCATGTCATTAGTTTTGTCGCACATATGCACACACTTGAGTGTATAAATGATACGCTATTCAGTTTCCCAAATGCTATTAAGTAACTTGACATGTTTTAATGTCCAATCTTATTATTGTTAATAGTCACTAAACTACCACTTTGACGTTAGTACTTAATAATGCACCATAGCTTTCGTTTTGTATCCTATATTGTAGCTCCACAAACTATACTACCCATCGACTGGATAATGTTTGCATAGTTTAATAATTTCATTTTGTTTCATATCATTTTTTTGTACCTTACATGCTCATTGGTTATTAGATGATATTAAAAAGTACCGAGCAGCCTACATACAAGACAGATCGAAATTTCCATGCTATATAGAATACATTGTAAGTATTCCTTGATAGTTCCAATCTTTGTGTATTATTATTTAATTCGTTATACTTAATTTTGCAATATGCATGGTAATGACATTGATATTGGTCGCACATGTATGCATTAAGCTATATGTAACATTTATCTGTCTGTTTCTGTTTATCTCACTGAGCCATAAACATAAGTAACATTTGTGTAGATTTGAAGAAAAAAATAGGTATGTAATTTTCACTTAAATGTCAAGTATTTTAAAATAACCTCCAGGACCTCTGTACCTTTATTCACTTTTTGAGGTGATGAACCGTTAAGAATATTATTGGAAAATTCTTATATCTAACTAGTGTGAGTACTGGTGGCAGTGTACTAATTTTTAAATGATGAATGCTAAAATGACTTATGTCAATCCGGGTCATATTTAACCTCCTGATGTATTAAATTATTTGAATTAGATGGAAATAGTTTCAAACTCACAACACCGTGGTTATTAATAATAATAATAATAATAATAATAATAATAGACTGACCTACTGCAGTCATCGGGAAAGTTCAAATGGTCAATGCATATCAGTTAAACCTTATTCTGTTGCACAAGCCCGTAGTTATCTGGATTCAGTAGTTAAGTGCATAATGCGATGGCATTTGAAGCGAATAGAGCTGAGTTCGACTCCTGGAATGCACATCAACTCTGGGATGCAGGTACATCCAGTTGACAAGTTATAAATAGGATGAATTCCGCTTTCTAAATTTCAATGCTAGCCATCATCCATTCCTGTTTGTAAGGTAAGTAGCTTAGTAGCAATGTCGAGACAATCCACACAGGATGCACATATTCGAAAAGCGACTAAGCAATCGCAGTTCTGAACATCAATGGTAAGATTCAAACAACCATTACAAATGTATTTATTTATTTATTTGAACACATAAATATCGGTACAAGGGGCATCGAATGTATATGCGCCACACAAGTCACTTGATTTGTGTGTAGGCTGTGTTACTACGCGGGTGCCCAGACCGAGGCACAGTCTATACAAATGAATAATCATAGTAATTGCTTGAAGTAGTATTGCATATTGAGTACAGTATGATATTCTCAGTCTTTTATTAGTTGTTAGTAAGTGACTATCATTTCTCGAATTAGTAGAATTCATTGCAAATAAAAACATTTCGATAACAATATAATAAGTTAGGACGAATTCTAACATTTTGATGAAATACTTATTAATAATTTATTTAAAAGCAATGCTGAATGCTAGAGAAAAAAATCTCATTCCGTCCAAATGTACACCTAAGAACAGCTATTTTCTACCCGAGCTTCACGGTTCAATAGACTAACCACTGTCATTATAACAGTTACTTCCTTTTAATCATCTAACTTCTTTTTTTCAATATTTGTTCCAGTTAGCCAATGCAAATGGTGCATGTATGATTGCGCATAGTTTTGTCACAGTAATTATGGATGAATTGACTGAAGATTCACATCTTAAAGGGAATCTGACAGCTAGGATTAGTCATTTGAAATCAGAATATGAAAAAGTAGCTGAACAATGGTGAGTGTTTGTTGTTTCATCTGTTGGCTGAATTTTGTTATGAGTTCTACGTGGGACTCATGCTAAATATCATGTAAGGTATCCGTGAACTAATCCTTTACAAGTCACTTATCATTACTATTCGCGTGAATTTTAAAATCTGGTATCCTATGAAATATTTGAAAGGTATCAGTCAGTATTTGGTCATTGAATCTCATATTTCGTTTAATTTAAAACTTTTCGTCGCGACTAAAACTGTTATGATCCCGTTAACATTGGGTGGATATCGCACATTGTATTATGAGTTAACTGAAGCTAGAAATATAGATCATTTGATTCTAACTCAGCTGTTCTAGAGCGTCGTGTTATATGAGGCTTGCATCGTAACAGGTAATTTGGATGCCAAACTAGGTAGGCTAAATTAAATTGAGAGACAATTGAGTGAATCTTTTGATTTTTTAATTCAGTGAACAGGAAACGAAGACTGTCTGTTGCTTAGATGATCCTTTATTTCTACCAACCACCATTTTTAAAAACTCGAAAAGTTCTCGTCTGACACTGATTTCAAGAATTAACTGGACGATGAACGAAAATGCACAATATTACCACTGGCCATCTCTAGGATAACTCGATTAAAACATTTGCTCTGTCCGGAACACATATTGGGCTCTGACCACTCTCTGGTGCAAGTACGCGCCTTACTGAACGCAGAAAAGTCACAACGTGGAAAGCTTTAGGAGTTCAGCTGAACAATAAGCATATTTCAGGGACAACTAAAGAAGAACAATTACGAAAGTAATGCTCACGCCGATGTAGTTTAATTCACAACTAACAGTGTTAAATTTGAAAGTTCTAGGTTGTATTCGACGTACGGAGAGAGTCATGAGTAGGCACTGATCTGAACCTTTAAAACTAGCACAAGACAAGTTAAAGGTATGCTCCCTAATTTTCCAGCTAATTTCCGTCTTTAACGAGAAGCTTCTGCAATTTTTAAATATCAATTCAGTATCTGTGAGATTTCACCAAAATTGTTTTTATTTCACACAAACTTTGTAAAGATTATATCGTTTTCTCCGATAAATAAACTGGTTGTGGTTTGTTCTTTTCTGAGAGTATTGACTTATCGTACACTTGATCCAATATGTGATGTCAGTTCGTTACGACCTTAATTTATCTGCTCACTAGTCTGTGCTTAGTATGCAGCGAGAAAGAGTTATCTCAATCTAGTTTACGGATTTGATATAATGGGCTACTTAGCAATACCTTAGGACTTGTAACGCACTAGTTCAATGTGTTTGTGAGCGGCCTTGGAAGTAACAAAAGAAGAAACCATTCTACATTGACTAGTTGGCAAGCAGAGAGAGAAAAAGACTTACCTGAAATTGTATATCTGACTTATTTCTGATCCTATCAAGGTACATGAGTAAATATCTAACAGAAGCATAACACAAAAGGAACGAGAAAAATACAGTTACATCCAAACTATAACATTAAAGTAGACAAAATGAAATCCGAGGACCACGTTTAAATTACAGTGATTTTGAGATGGAAGAGAACATGCCAGTTATTTAAACTATAAACGAAAGCTTATGATTCGTAGATTAAAGTAGGCTCTATACTTAATCTTACCATTGTACAGAGTTTGGATTAAGTGCGATTAGGTTCCGAGAAATAAATGACGTTAATTATCATTGTTCCGATATTCTTTTTTTCACGTCAGATGTTTTCTTATGCTTATTATCTTAATTGTCATGCTATAAAAATTAATTCATATTATTCTGCGTCAATATTCGTTCTTGTTTTACTCAAATTCGTCAAGGAAGCCAGTTGTATGGTAATATCTATAAACACTTCGATTATTTTAATGATTTTAAATCTTCAGTCGACAATTTATCCTTATCTAACGAAATTTTCCTATATATATAATATTTTATTATAGGATAGCTTATGCTGAAGAAACCGTATTCATGGATTTAAATCGTGTACTAAGCGTGATTATGACATCTCAATGGTGAGTGCATATGTAAATATGGAGTTAGCAAAATCGTGTTTCATACCTATTGTAGAAATATCGATGGTTTAACACTGAACACTTTACCCAATACTATTTGCTTCAAGCTCCATCGCGTTATCCATTTAGCTACTGAGTCATAATAGCTAGGGTTCGAGTCCCGGAGTGAATGTTAACTCTGGGATGCATGCACATCCAACTGACGATTCCCGAAATGGGACAGCATGTGCATCCTGGATTCCACTTCTAGCCACTATCATCTCTGCTTATAATGCTTGTGACTTAAAATAACATGGAGGCAATCCTCACAGGATGCACGTATACCAACAAGAGACTGATCATTTGCAGTCCTAAACATCCATAGGAAGATTCAACCAACCAACACGAAAACGAATTATATTGTTTAACATTCAGGTACACAAACTAAGGCATCATCATGTACCATTATCATTTTACAAAATATGTAACTGGTTATACTTTTTTACATATCAATACCGAGGTGACATTTGTCAAATGAACTAACAGTTCCGATCGATTTATTGTTTGTTCATCGATTACCTACTGGATAAGTATTGATCTCTGTTGAAATCATATACTGATCGTAACTAAACCACTATTGAAAACCCGGAATCACTGAACGGCCGTTTATTCCTTGGACTCTTAAACAATGCGCATCCACGATCCCGCACGCGAACGCTTAACTTCTAAACAACTAAGCTGCCATCCTACAGTGTTGACGTCTAAATTCAATAAATCCATTTTCTTCCTCAACACTTCATCCATTGCTTGCGGTAGATAAAACTGTCTTACACACGACGTGGATTAAAATTAATTGGTCACAGCTTCTGACTACAACTCCGGAAGTTACGTCTTGAAGTTAGTCGCTAGTTAGCACGTGGTTTTCTTAGTATGCGGGATTTGTGGAGATTGTAGTTTTTCCAGCGTTGAAATCGCTAACCCATCTTAGCTAGACCGCCATTAGAAATCTAGACGTTAACACCATTAGATGCCGGATCAGTAGTTTAGGGGTTAGTGGTTCGAACACGAGAGAAAAGGTTCTGAGGCTAATCCTTTGTTGCGGAGTCGTGGATGCCTATTGTTAAGGAGTCCCGTACTAGTACGAAACGGCCGCCCTGTGCTTCTAAGATTTCAGTGGTGGTTTAGATAAGAATGGTTCATGTTTTCAACGGTAAAAATAATACAATCTCCACAAATTCTGTATATTTAATAATCTGACTATAGAATAATATCATTTATGCTTCTCGTGGTTGGAACTCAGTGAATAGTTTAGCTTGTCCTGTTGTCTTATTGCAGACTTTCGTCCCATTCGCCGGATTAGAGGAATAGTAATTTCTTAAAATGTAGCTTTAGTATGCATTGTTATTGTATATTAGAGTAAAGCCTGATGAGAATCTTACTGAAAATAATATTGTTCGCTTATATATGTTGTTCCGATTCACATTATTTAGTGTTAAAGTCTTGTAAACAGCAATTTTTGTTCACGCTCTGTTACCCCATCCAGATAAATTGTTTAGTATGTTTCTTACTTGGGACATTTTTATTCATTTCTCTTATCGTTCTCTTTGGTCACTCCCCCCAATACACTTAATCTGTATGTTTATTATTATTATTATTTTACAAATTATTGAAAACAGGCTACGCCCGGATGATATGACAACACAATATCTGGTTGGTACATTAGCCGATTATGATGAAACATTGAAGCATACAAGACAAAATTTATATGATAAATTAGCTGAAAAATTGGCTGAACGAATGTTAATTGAATACTTGAAAGCATTAATAAGCCGGTATAACAATTATTCATAATCAGTATGATTTGTTATCAATGTTATTTCAATTATAGTTGTTATATTAACAATTTACTGCATATTCTCTTCAATAAGTACACAAATTGATGTCATGCGAACTCTAATATAATTTAGGATAATATTCTTATCGCCTTACAAAATAATTCTCATTTGTAAAACAATATACTTGTCCTATGTGCTTGTCCACTGTCCTGAAATTCTCTAAAAACCCTGATAAGTTAAGTTATTCGGCTGCCTCAGTTCGGCGTTTGCTAGAATCATTTAGACAGATAATATTTTCAAATTCAACTCATTAGTAATTATCTGGATACAGAGTCAGTAATTATATATATATATATATATATATATATATATATATATATATATATATATATATATATATCAGTCAATTAGCGGAATATAAAATTTAAACAAAGCACAGAATATGTTGAACTTTGAGCATTTCATTATATTATCAAACATAAAATGGAAATGAAATTTTCCATTATATATATTTATTTTGATCTTATTGTGCATAGACGAAGTCCGCTTTCTACAGAAGCTGATAGAAAAAAAGCTGGTGAGAAAATCACACGAGATGGACATGATTTAAAGAACTATTTTGAAGAGAAAATGAAAGTGAAAAGTGAAGTAAGTATATTTAAGTTGATTAATAACTAATTTATCATTCAGGATATGGGGTATATGCTGTATATTTTTTTCAAAACAAAGCAAATATGCCACAATTTAGAGTGTCACATTAAATAAGATAATTTTCGTTGCTTTTTATGTAATCTGACCTTAGCTGCTATCTTAACATGGTGGTTATACTTTATGATGACTGAAACATTTATTCCTTTAGATCTTACTTTTCCAGATATATCTGTTGAGGAACTGTAAAACTAGAAAAAATGTGCTAAAGTCCTATGGCTAATTCGTACTACTGGCTGTAGTAGTATGTGTTGGTAGTACGATATTTTCCTTAGACAACCAGCATCTACAGCGGTGCTGCAGGAGGGAGACAGTTAAAAAGATCGACCGTAATAATAGTATACTTCACCTTAATCCTCGGATAACCATCAATTGTGTTAAGGCTTTAGATGTAACGAGTTAACTCACCTAAAGCTCCTCACATTAAAGCCTTGTGTAGCTGTCCCCAACCCATTGTCTCTTGAACTATGCTACTAAGGCCACCTCTAACCCAGTATTTTTTCAGGCCCCTCAAGAAGAAGTTTCCCTCTACAATGGGACAGTTGGAAAATGACAGACACCTACATAATATAACCGTTTTGTATGAAATACGAAAATATCGTAAGTATTGTATAATCTTATGGTTTACAGAAACTACTGATTCACTTACTATCAGTAAAATATTCATATTTTTAAACTGCGTGGTAAGGATCTCTTGTCAACTTCATCATAGCGTTTTATTCATCCACCGAAATTCACAATAGTCAGAATCCATTACTATTATTTCGTTTCTACAATCAATTTACGACATTTCAACTACGTACATAACATAACATACCAGTCGGTAATTCTTAGTAATACGTTTGACCAGTAAAGTAGACTCCAAAAGTTACTAAAGGAACTGAGTACATTTGTTGTGTGGATAGGATGCAGTCTTAGTTCTACGTTTTGTTGTATTTAAGACTCGTCATCTAGGTGTATCTGCTTTCCAACGTTAATTTTCACAGTGGGTCTTGAACTCAGTATACTTCATTTCAAACTCGTCTCACTGTGAACATCAACACTGGAGAAAGGATATATCCAGCTGACGATTCTCAAATAGAATGAGATTCCACTGCTAGCGAAATACCAAATATACTAAAACACAGAACATCTCTATTCCGAGGCAATCTGCTTATCATTTTCAGTCCTGATTCTCAATAATGGGAAGTTCGGGACCATCCTTACTATAAATATTTTCACAATTAGGTAACTGTAAATCTATGAACTCAGTAAATAGTATTTATTTAACAAACATTGCAGGACATATATCTCATATATTTCTTATAAACAATTTTAGGTAATTGTGGCATACGACGCTTTGACAACTATCGGTCAGTTGTTCCTTACAACTGATACATCAATGTTACCCTTGGATATTGCTGTAAGTGTTTGTTTGTTTATATGAATGGATCCATTTTTCTTTTCTTATTAATTAACCAACAAATTCTGTTCAAAATTTTGCTTTTCGTTGTAAACCTGCTATTTTAGTCAACATTTCTAAAATGTTAGCCTATTGCAATAACCATGGCTCATTGTTAGACTAATGTTGCACATTAGTTCCACTGCATTTTTGTGCTGCTTACATCTATCGTGTGGTTAATACTTATTTTTGTCAAAATTCAATTATACATTCGCATATGTTATATAAACCAACCACCTTAAGTCGTACGTTGTATAATTTTTATTATACTGAACAAGCTTAATATGTTATTAAAACGGTATTGTAATTGATAAGTGAATAAAAATCATTTGTCGAAATAACTATTTGTAAAACAATTAATTTGTAAAAAAAATAATTTTTTCAAATACACTAAAATACTTGTGTTAAGTACGTGTAAACAAGTCGTAAAGGTAGACCTTTATGAATCGTTCTGCGGCGGATAATATATATAAATGATTAGCCGCTGACATATGCTTCATTGTTTATTAATTATTTATCTTTCACTCAGTTTTGTGTCACATATAACCGTTGGGTGTCAGGAAGCCACTCATCAAAGACAGTGAAGGATAGATCGAAGTTAGGCTTGTACACCATTAGATCCCGGCTCAGTGGTTTAAAATCTATATGTTCGCACTCGATACTGAAGGTCCTGGATCCGATCCCTTATTGCGAGGCCGTGGATGCGCGCTGCTGAGGAGTCCCATAAAAGGATGAAATAGCTGTCCAGATTTTAAACGGTTGTCCAACATTTTCCACAACCTTGTATTGACGTATAGTCCAATTACATACGAATTGTAATTTTTTGTTTGTTCTGCGTCGTGGTCATGTTACTAATCAATTTCATCCTATGAGTTTGATCGTTTGTGTCATTGGCTTAAGCAAGGTTCTTTGGTCCGATAGACGTAATGCAAACTTACCGTTAGTGGACTCAATAATTAAGTAGTCGAATTGAGTAGGCGTATGGAGGTTGATGTCATAACTTATACAAAATGTATCCAATGTAGTTGCTTAAGACGAATAATTGTAGGATAAGAATCTGTGTAGATCATTCACCAGTAAAGCGCATCATACATTTATCCTTTTTTATATACATCAGTAGAAAAAAGTTTAAAAGCATAACAAATCTACGATGAATTCTATCATTAATATCTCATGAATTATAGAAAAATCATATCAAAATCATCAAATAAATATTCTTTTAAAGATAGTTAGTCATGCTAGTAAGAAAATTGGTCCATTATCCATCAGTAATATTTTAAAAAATACATTTTCAGAGACGTCTGATCATTTTAATTACATAAATTTTCTCATCTGTTACTTACTTTCTATAATACTAGGTTATAATTACCGTGCTATGATACTCATCTCTTTGTGTCAGAAAATAGAGTCCCTAGACTTTAAAGAGTCTACTAATAATGATGAGTTAATTTACGCGTATCAGACCTATATCACAAATCACCTCCGACACATAATGTCATTGGGTCTTTTAGAATTTATTTATTAATATGTGTGTATGTGTATTGCTTCTAGAATTTGAAACGTCAATTTCCTGATGTTCGTTCCGATCAAGTTTATGCCTTGCTTGTTGCTCGTGGAGATGTTACATCTGACAATGCTAAAGGAGTAAGTTTCCAGGAAAAATAAAGAGCTCTTCAATAATTAGAAGTATTCAATTTTTCTTGGGGGTTGTTTTTATTTTAGATTCGATTGTAGTTGGCTGCTTCTCACTGTGGCTAAATGGCATTTTATCGAGGTTGTATGGCGAATAACTATGGAACCCAATAGACGCGTTTCACCTCATTCGAGATTCATCAGCTGGATGTTCCTGCTTCTCTCAGTGTTGATGTTCACATGGAGATTCGAACTCATCACCTCTCAGCTTAAGTACCATCATTTTATCCACTGAGTTGCTGATTCCGATTTCTTACCAGGCCTCTCTAATAGGATAAAACGCACCTCCTGCATCCTATCTTTACCCATTATCCAACCTTGATAAAAGCCTGTGACTAAATGGCAGTATTGGGAAAATCCGTTTACGATGCACATATACCAATAAAGACTAAACAGACAATTATTAACATTGATAATGGGAGGCTTACCGACTTATATAGTTCAATCTTCAAAATATCAGGTATTAAGAATCACAGTATGTCCAAAGTCATTTAAGATTGATTTTCAGTTTTATTTTCATTAACCAAAGAATTCTTTATTTTTCTGGGACTTAATATTCTGAGTACAATACGCTATTGAAAATAATATCCTCCTAGAAAAACTCACTAATATTCCGAAAATATTCTTCAAACTGGTAACACAATTTCAAAGCTTTGTGGTAGTTTAAACAGCTTTATTTAATTTCTCGTTAGATTTTGAATTGTGTTGCCATCGTATCCCAAGTGTCTTGGATAATGGCTTCCATTTCTTGCGATTCACAAAAGTTCAGCTAATTCTAAGGTTACTCGCTCAACAATCGCAACGGGAACCAGAATAACTCTACCTGATACTACTCCATCATTCGGAACTTCTAGATACAACTGAAGTGTCCTGCAAAGTTACAGTACAGTTGCCAAGTAACCGACAGCTTCTAATCTTTATTAATATAGCGAAAGCTTCCACTGATGCATTACAACTCTCACGAACCAACAAAACGAAACGATGGCTACCCAACATGCGTCTAAACTCTCAAGGTAATCGATGGTGAAACTACGCAACCGAAAACAGAGATTGAGTGCTTTATTCTTAGCCTTGTGGTGCATTGCAAAGACGGTAGGGTTATAGAAAAGAAACAACAAAATCAGGCAAGCTACAGGCACAACCACATATGTAATGTGCAACTACTCACTCCAATGCTGTCTACTTGACAAATTGATCCCAAATCGTGATGCACTCCTTATTGCTAGCTGCATTTTCCTGGGATTCATTAGATGACAATCGGCTACGACTAAGACTTAGTTTCTACACGTTTCTTCCACTTTTAGCTTATCTAACTTCGTGGTTAGACTCTTATTACTTTGCAATCGTATGTGAGTACTATCATAACCAATTTTCGTTCCGAAAACCTCTGAGCTTCAGTAATGTTGCATTCGATTGTTCAATAGCTTGACCGCTTTTGTCAGGCATTTCCTGGATACTCTGACAGGTGGGGTGAGTTCGCATGTTTATCCATACTCGGAAGGTTCGGCCTTCCTAATATCAATCGATAGTCAGTGAGTACCGATAAGACGAAGATTCCGTACTAAACCACAAATGCTCCTGATTCCCGGTTAAAACTCAGTGTTGAGTAGTAGTAATAATTCTTTTCTGAAAGTCGGTACAGAATACACACCAGTTTACAGGCATCATCAGGTTGATACAAATTGTTAGTTAAGACTCAATTCACTTAATCTGAATAAACATGGATTCCAAGTAACTTCCAGGACGGATTTAAATTAGTGAGTATTGAACAATGAGAGCTGTGGGGAATGTAAATAAGTAAATCAGTATTAATACTTTTTACTCCGTAATGCAACGTGGTGTAGGCTACCAGTTGAAATTCGGGGAACAGGTGCTATGAACCACTTCACTCGCGATATAAATGGACTCCTAAGTGACTATAGGACACTGCTTAAGCCACCTGTGTACTTGGACTTTATTTCTTTTGTAATTTTATAACGCAAAAATATATTTACGTACTTACTATTATACTTAAATAAGTCTACTAATCACTTTTTAAGTACTTGTCTTGTGGTCTCTTTAGAAATTATCTGACTATATTCGATACCTGACACAGAGTGTAGTCCATCAATATCAGAAAGATGTTCTATTTAAATAAACAAAGCTATACTATGCAATGCAGTATAATAAATATATAGAGCGATCTACGAAAACTGTATATCGTTCTCTGGTCACTTCTTGTTTGGCAATTTTTCTGTTGTCGATAGATATATGTCATAACTTAAAAGAAACCTATTCACAACATACTATTAAATATAACGATAGGTAGAGACCGTATTTCAGTCTACTAAAACCGTGGTAATAAATTAAGCGGACCCTTTTGTTTTGGTGCTTGCCTTGTTCTCATTTTACAGTATCGTTTTCTTGTTCGTTGGTCAAATACTATCCTTTAAAATAAATATTTCCAGCTTCAGCAACTCGAACTAATGTACGTACGTACGAAGTTCTACGTTGTTACTGACTGACTGCTTCAGCACTTGTCCGCGCATTCTAGCAAGTCATACTTGTAATTTTTAGGAGTTTAATCTTCCGCTGAAACTGGCACATGTAGTTCGTGACTGACGAATTCCAGAATTAGGAAACAGGGGAGCAATATATTTATTACTGTTCAGTAATCAGTTGTCTCATTCTTTTATTTTTTGGTTACTCTTTTTATTATGCTTGCTTTCACTTTGCATTCAAAGTCTTCGTACTCATTTACTTTTTGGTTGAGTGGATCAGCCTTATTTCACAAATCCTCCGGGGTAATTGTCACTATATTCGGTCGAGTCTCGAACAGAACGAAAATTGCTGTATTCTGGTATCCGAACCCATGCTCAAATGTATTTTCAGTTTAAAATATATGATGTTAAATGTTGAAAGCGTTATTATAAATTTATATTACTTACAAGTAGTATCATTTCACTTCGAGACTATTGTGTGAACTCGAATTTTTCAATTTTATCTAACCGTGACATTATGATTTATTTTCTTAGCTTTCGGCTGACTCTCATTACGGAAGGGAATTGTCACAAAAGCCATCACCGTTCGCAATTTTCACACGATTAGTCGTCGCAATGGACACACATTAGTGCTCACTTTCTGGCCGGAAAAGAAATAATGTAAAATTGATCAATTTCGTGACTTTTTCAATCCCATTATTTTTATCTTTATAATATAATCACTGAGTTACTTTCTACATTTTGTTTATTTGTCTTTTGCTTCAGATAAACCCATTAATTAAAACAATCAAAAGTTTATATTCTAACCATTTTTGTTTAATTGAACGGAATGTCGAAAGTCACATCTGCAGTTCTATTTTTGTATTATATCATCAGTAGATCTAACATAATAATGTAAGTATTAAGTGCGACTTGACTTACGGTGATAAATTATTAAATTGATTTGACATACATGGCCCTCATACCAGCAGGGGGACGAGTTTATTTGCATAACGATACAGTATACACCACGAAAACTGGGATGTTCGAAGCCATATTTGCGCATTGAAAAGAAAAACTGGTTGACTAAAGACGCAACTGGCATTCTAGTTCCGTTATAATTGCGAATAGCTCACATTTGATTATAGTCGACGTAGACATCAAGGGCCTGGACTTCATATCACATAGCGTCAAAAACCTCATGTCATAATTCGTGCGAAGTAAGAACTTTCTGTGGAATTTAATTGAGAAGCATTAGGACTAGAAGTATAGAGCGTTATGAGTCGAAATTTGTTGCGAAAATAGGTAGTCCCTTAAGTCTTAAAAGTCAAAGCTGACCTCATTAGTTCTACTGGACTCATCCTTGGGGATGCCAATCGTCTAAGCATCCGCATCAGATCACGATTGTTTATCCCATGCTACTACTAGCCAAACGCAACTCCATATATCGATAGCTTTCCAAATAAACCTCCTAATAAGTCTTGCGAATTGAACGCTATAATCGTTTCCTAAGCTATTCTGCAACCCCCAAGCTAGAACTATACAGTGACCTGAACACAAGAGAGAAGACGCAAAGTATGCGAGAAAATACTTTACTCCAAGGTTCATTTTTGTACAGAAAGCACGGGTATTTATAGATGTTAACATTTGTTAAATCAACATCATATCTTAGGCAATCCGCTAAAAGACATGTCATACTACTGACCAGTAGCAACACGCCACGTTAACATTCCAGAAAGCTCCATCATGCTCTGATTGACTAGGACTCTTCGGTTCCTCTAGAGGCTCTGTTGCAGTTGTCCGAAAGCCGATTCAACACCTCCCCCGAATAAGATTTCTTCCTAGGATCTACTTGTAGCGTGACATCTGGGTTGTGGCGGCGTCCCATTCTTTTCGTCTGCCTTTGCCGAGGCTTCTTTTCAGTGTCCTTGTGCATATGTAGCGTTGGTGTTTCTAAGATAACTCCAACAGGAAATTTGGCCGGTTTATTCGAGTCTGCATCGTTCTTTTTTCCTTATGGATTTGGTTCGTATGTCCTATACATGTCTCAAAAGATTCTCGGACTGTACAGAAGGTTTCCCGATTTTTGAACAACTTTTCCCGGCTCCCATCGGTTCTTCCCGATGTAGGATTTAATGAAAACTTAGTCGTCAATATTGAAGCTCCGGATATTTGGATTTTGACTGTGCCCATCCACTAATTTGGATGGCAATATGGCGTTGAAAACGGTCCGATTACGCCTTCTGAACATGGCTTTGGCAGTAGACTTACCATACGGAACATTTGGATTCGGAGTGGCTGTGTAGGATGTTAAAAATTTGTGACTGCCTGTCCAGTGGTCCCTTCGCCTCCTCGTTTCAGTAATGCTCGTTTAAAGGTGCCCACGAAGCGTTCTGCTTGTCCGTTCGATTGCGGATGATAGGGCGGAGAACGAAGATCAGTTATTCCATTTATGCTACAGAAATGCCTAAACGATTCTGCGGCGAATTGCGAGCCGTTATGCGTTACAAAGTCGCTGGTACTTCAACGCAGCTAAACAGGGTAGACAACTTGTGGGTTGTTTCTGATGTTGTACAGTTCGGCATGGTATATGCTTCCGGCCATTTAGTAAATGCATCTACGATCATTAGACACATTGTTCCTTGGATTGAACCGGCAAAATTTGCGCGAAGTCTTACTCAGGGTCCTGCAGGAGTAGGCCAATACTGAGGTTCACATTTCAAAGGACTTTTAGCGGCTTGAATGCATTGACGGCCAATAAGCATAACTACGAACCAACGATTTCATTTTATTGATTCCAGGATGACGACTGTCAAACTGCTTGGGAACCTTGTGAATTAATAACTCCGGAATAGCAATCCGATCACCGGATATAATGCACGAGTTGACAAACATTAGTGAGTTCCGTCGACGAAAATATTGCAAACGTTCTCCGTCAAGGCGATTGTTTGGCCATTTGGTCGAGAGTTAGCATTGAACTGTGCTCAATGTCTCACCACTTTCAGTGATCTTCTTGACAGTTTCAAGGGTTACTGGGAGTCAATCGATTGCATCACCCAATACGCGATGAACTTCTTTCTCAGGTTGTATATTTGCTACAAGAGTCTCCTCTGGGGTTTCCAATTGGGAGCCTATTATTCTTGGCAATGCGTCAGCTTGTCCGAAGGAGGTAGTAGACTGATACTTCATCTTGAAGTCGTAACCCAGAAGTGTGGTTGCCCATCGTTGGAGTCGGTTAGCTTTATGAACAGGAATATCTTTCTTTGACCCAAAAACTGTTATTAGGGTAAAATGTCGACCATATATCATCTTATGGAACTTTTTCATTGCAAAGACAATTGATAGGGCTTCTTTCTCAATTTGACTATAGTTCCTTTCGGTCGTTATCAAAGATCTGGCAGCGTGTGCGGTAGCTTTTTCAGACCTATCAGGAAAAATGTGAGAGATGACTGCGCCCACACCATAGTTAGAAGCATCTGAAGCAACGGCTATCGGTAGCGAAGGATCATAATGTGCCATTAAGAGATTGGAAGTCAGGAGTTGCTTGATTTTCTCGAAAGCTGCTTGACAGTCGGCAGACCAATTCCATCTTGTATTCTTTTGTAATAGGTGGTTTATTGGAGCACGCAGACAATGGATATCAAGAAGGAAGGTACCATAATGGCTGACCAATCCCAAGAACGATAGCAGGGTAGTAATGTCCTTGGGTCTAGGCATTGTTCTCACAGCTTCAATGTTCTCTGGACGTGGTCGTCTCCCGTCTTTATCTATGATGAACCCAAGATACCGTACTTGCTGCATATAGAAGTCACGCTTTTCCGCTCGAAGGCGAAAACTATTATCGGCTATGCGTCCTAGTACCTGGTTCAGTTTCTTATGCAGGTCCATTTTATCTGCTGTCATAATTATGATGTCGTCTGAATAAGCTTCTGCCCCTAGAATACCTTATAGCACGCTATCCATAATTTGCTGGGAAATAGAGGGCGCTGTCTTCACCCCAAAAGGTAGTCGGTTATACCGGGACAGACCTTTGTGTGTGTTGATCGTCAGGAGAACTTTGCCCTCATCAGATACTGGGATTTGTGAATACGCGTTTGGTAAGTCCAATTTCGCAAAATATCTGCCACCGTTCAGCTTAATGAAAAGATCTTCCGGTAGGGATAACGGATATGCCAGTTGTGTTGTTGGGAGAACTGTGGGTCTTCCAATGTTCCTCCAAGTTTCTGGGCTGATTAAGGTAATATCAGAAGCTGTATCAAGCGGAAGGCGAGTACAGTGTTTATTAATATCCAAGGTTACGTACTTTCTTTGGCGGCAACTTTGTGCTTGATTATTTGATACCAATATTCTTTTTCTTAATGCCTCAGACCTGTATTTGTTGAAGTAGGGTTTTTCAGAATATCGTTTTTGGTTTCTTTTTCTGCAGGTGGTTTCTATATGGCCCTTCCGATGACACTTACTGAGACCATGTTCTTTATACGGACAAAACTTCTTATCAGTTTCAGTTTCATTTTTGGAAGGATAGGAGGCTCGATGCCCTATGTTAGTCATGGCAGTGGTGGTCTCTCAGTTGATCCAACTTTCTTTTGAAAGAGTCGACGGATGGAGCCTCAACCACGTTCTGAGGTAGTGAATTCCACTCGTTGATGATTCGATGGGAAAGTCGATAGTCAGCTGACAAGTAATTTGTTCTCGGCTAATGAACATTTTGGAGTGTCCTCGTAAATTCTCTGTTTTGGAAGACAAGAAAAATGAGGGCATATCAGGTGCAAATTTGGCACCAAGCAATTTGAAATCTGTAATCAAGTTGCCTCTAGTTCTGCGATATGACAACGGGAAAAGGTTCAGCTTGGCCAGTCGAGCTTCATACGGAAGCTTCGCTATTCCGGGAATCAGCTTAGCTGCCGTTCTCTGAACCTTTTACAGAAGCTCACTGTCTTTTTTTAAACAGAGGCTAGCCGCTTGTATGCAGTACTCAAGTTTAGGACGAACGAACACTGTATACAAAGTCAAAAACGTTTTGGTGTCGACATGACTAAAAGCTCTACGTATTGACCATAAGGTTCTAAAACCTTTGGCGGCTATTGCACGGCGGTGTTCAGTAGTCTTTAAGTCTTGACTAACGATAACTCCTAAGTCATTATATGTCTGGACGACAGGTAGCTCAGTGTTTTTCATCGTGTATGTATCTGTGCCTTGATGACCGATATGCATCACAAAACACTTGGGAGTATTTATCAGCAACTGTCAGGTTTGAAACCATTCAGATTATTTCTTCAGGTCATTTTGGAGTTCTAAGCTATCACACTTACATCGTATCATACTCCATATCTTGACATTGTCAGCATATAGCAAGACCGATGATGATACGAGATGAGGAAGGTTATTTACATACAACAGGAATAGCACTGGCCCCAAAACTGTACCCTGGGGCACTCCACTAAGCACAGTTTCCCAGCTAGATAACTTTGAGTTCACCCGAACTCTTTGTTGACGCCCAACTAAGAAGTCTTTTATCCACATAAATAGATTGTCTTCAATCCCGACATTTCTTAACTCACATAACAGCCGATTGTGCGAAACCTTGTCAAAAGCTTTGCTGAAATCAATGGAGGCTACGTCTACAGGTAACTTTTGGTCCTTAAGAGCGCACCAGCTTTCACGAACCACTAACTGGTTAGTGAGACAAGAGTAACCTATTCTGAAGCCGTGCTGCTTCTCCGAGAGGATCCGGTTTTTATCGAAATACTTAAACAGCTCCTTCCGAATAATCTTTCCTAAGATTTTAACAACCACACTAG